AAGCGCAGCGTGCACCATGGTCACTGGGCGTGCACTCGGTGGTCTTCCTGGAGGCAACAACCCACCGCGCTCGTTTTCTGGGAACGTCTGTGGAGCGCCGGGCTTACGGGGCCGGAGCTGGCCTGGCAGCCTCTCCCGGCCCCGCTCCGGCCCACCGCTCAGGCGGAGGGTCCTCACACAAAGCCGAGGTGCATGGGGCCCGAGAGCCAGGGTCTAGCGACCCTGGGGACTTCTCCTGCTCCATCGGGGCCCCTCAGGTGAGGCTGCAAAGTCTCCACGGCGCGTGCGGGGTGGAGGCCAGCCCACGGCGCCCATGGGAGCTCGTGCGGCCGTGGGGTGCCGCCCTGACCCAGGTGGCAGTGCAGCGGAAGGCCAGCGACGTCTCCGTGACTGTGGACACGGTGCTGACCCTGTGGACCCCCGAGGCCACTGTGAGTGCCGGCCGCACGCCCACCGCCCCTCGGTGGCCTGACCAGCACGTGGCGTTGGACTCCCCGGCCTCGCAACGTGGGTCTGTCCGTCCAGACACTGCGACCGGTTGGCTGGCTGGCTGGCTGGCTGGCTGGCTGGTTTTTAACCTAGGCTTGGCTTCTCAAGTTCCGCCTCCGCTCATGGCTAGCCGTGTGACTTCTGCCACTTTAGAGAAGCCATCCAACCGAAGGCCCCGTTCCTCCTGGGCACACGGAGGTGAGGGTCCCGAACCGACCTGGGTGTGCTGAGCGTAAGAGACGCCCCCCACACGGGAGCCCTCTGGACACCGCTCATCTGCTCATCCGCAGTTCCACTGCGGCCCCACGACAGGCCGAGCTCTGTCCCGTGTGCTGTACCGGCAGAGACCAGGCCCTTGCTTTACGATAAGAAGCTCAGTTCTGGGGGTGGGGACATGAAGAAAAACATCAGAGGCATAAAGACCGACCGCGAGTGACCGGGACCTACTTCGGAGACAGTGACGGGGCAGGCATCAGAAAAAGTGACTAGCGGCTCCACGCCCGGAACAAGGAGGGGCCCGGTGTGAGAGGGTCAAAGGGCAGGAAGAAGCAGAAAGGCAGATGGGGCCACACCACGGAGCTTTTCCAGCCAGGGCGAGGAGTCTGGATGCTGGCCCAAACCCTCGGGACGCCGGGGAGGGCCAGGGAGGCGGTGCAGGAAGGAAGTCGTGGAGTCTGATTCACACTTTTCAGGAGCCCTCCGGCCACTCGGTGCATCATCCCACAGCTCTGCCGCCTCCTCCTCCCCGGGCAGCCGAAGTGAGTCTGCGAGCAACAACGGCTTCCTGCCGGAGCAGCAGCCCCCAAGCTTCCCCATTCCAGCCCACAGATGCCGGGGCCGACGACCCACCTGGGACCAGTCGTCCCCGCACGCCCTCTTTCCGGCGGGAGAAGGAACTGTGGCAACGACGTGTTTGCAGCACTGCAAACCACAAGCGGGGGAAACTGTACCCACGTCTGCTTTAGCCAGAGGCCCGTGCCTCCTTCGTGCTGAACTGCAATTCACGCACGTCTGGTTATTTGAAAATTACAAGGTACAGAGGCTGTTGATGCATATACACAAATGAACCAAACAAAGTTGACAGTGACGGTATTAAACCGACAGCAACCTAGTAGCTAGGACGCAGGGACAGCGGCGCTTGAAAACCAGGACAGACAGAGACTGCGGGGTCGCCAGCAAAGAGCGGGCGGGTCCGCGGCTCTGCGACAGTGCCCAGTGCCCGGAAACTTTTTGCAGTTCTCCGTCAGCTTCAGCAAAGATGTCAATTTTAGGAATCCTTAGCAAGGCCACTAAATAGAACACCAGTAAGTGATGGGGGACTCCAATGTGGGAAACATTTTAGTTTCAGGTAATAGCTAATAAGCTTAGTAATCAATGCACATAAAAGCCATTGTTCCAGGAACGGAAGGTGCGACCCACCCTGACTCCAGGACCCTAAGCAGTTCCCGCTTTGTGCCCCAGAGGGCTGCAAACCTGGGGATGGAATCTGAGCCTTGTGCCCCGGGGCGAGACGCCCAGGCCTGGGGCACCGATAAAGACCACCACCCAGAAGTTGCAGCTCTTATCTGATGAACCTCTCCCCTGAATTCCAATGCCCTGACCTACACTTTTCTTCTCCTTATTAAAAGGTCAATTTAAAATGGAGCTTAGGACAGTCTGCTAGGGTACGAACCCTCCGTCTTCTCAGATCGCAGGCAATCCGAACAGGGCGCCCTCACAGACTCAACCGCGGCCTCTCTCATCGGTGCTGGCGGGTGACAGCCAGCACAGACGCCGCCGGCCCTTCTGGTCTCATAAGTCACCACCGACGCAGGCACAAGACAAAACCGCGAGGGGCCACACACGGATGGCAGGAAGGCCCAGGGACCAGCTGTGCCTTCGGGGCCGTCGACAGCCCGCGGGGGCTGGTGGGCGCCTTTCACCCGCCCTCACCTCACAGCACGTGAACCCGTGGCTAAAACTCCACGGCTCACCAATGAACATATTTTCTGCCCATCTGACAAAAAAATAATAGGTATAATTTTGAATCATTCACACCAGATGGCTACTGCTGTGTTGGCTGTTGTGATTTTTTTACTTGACCATCTACGGGAAAAGAGGTCAGTGGCCCTGACTAAACAGCCGGGTATTTATTGCATGTTTTAAGCATTCTCGCGCACACCAGTTGGCGGTCGCTGCCGTGGGTCCTAGCGCAGAACAACGGGGCCCCCCTGGCTGCTTCCCCACGAGGCTGCACTGCCCGAGCGCTCCCCCCCCCGCCCCGAGTGCAGGCACCCGGCCCGCGTGCCCGTGTGCACGAGGCCCCCGGCAGCGGGGGGCTGCCTGGGGGCACCAGAGCAGAGGTTGCCCACAGGCCAGAACCAGCTTCATGTTTTGTAATGTCTGGACTAGTGCCAATATTTTAAGATCAGAAAACTTCACATTAAAAAATAATTTTTTAGAAAGGCTTTCTGGCTTCTCAAAGGAAAAGAGAAGAGAGGAAGCGAAGGAGCTCGGGCCGAGCCTGGCTGCCCTGGCGCCCACGGTGCCTCCTCAGAGGCCCCGGCCCGCCCTTCAGAAACTCACACGGCGTCAGAGGTCAGCGGCCACTGACCTCTGAACCGCCATCATTATCCTCGTACCTGGCCTGTTTCACTCATCGACGCTACCGTCTACATCAGGGGTGTCACACTCATGTTCACCGGGGGCCACATTAGCCTCGCGGCTGCCTCAAAGGGCCAAGATAATTGTAGGACAGTATGAATGTAACTTAACTGTTAAGGAGTTGAGGTTATTATATTCGGCCCTTTGAAGGCAAACGCAAGGCTGATGTGCGCACCCCCCCCCCCCGCCGTGAACATGAGTTCGACACCCCTGTTACACTGCATCTTATCAGCATTGGCATCCGCAACCTTTGGCCTACTGGGTGTGCTGAAAATACCCCTCGGGATCTCACCAGGGAGGGGGGTGACACCACAAGGGCTGTCCAGGGGCCAAGTGCTCCCAGACTGTCTGCTGGCTGCCGGTTTCCCTCCCGTTAGGAACTGCAAATGTCAGACACGGCCGAGCTCTCCCCCGGATCTTCCCCAAGTAGCCGTCTCAGTAGCACGCAGGCTCACGGAACCTTCCTCTCTCCCGGCAACCTCTGAAGAACTTATCTGGGGTGATGCTGATCATTCACAAATTCATGTTTTCATGAAAAGGTACAAAATACCTATCTTCATTAATCACTTGTGAACAGTTGGTGCACGTGCTCGGGGTAGCAGAGGAAACCACATTTCGAAAGAGAAAAAACAATGCCCTCCAAGTAGGATGAAAAAAAAAAGAGATTAGACGGGAACTTTTAAAATTAGACGGGCACACGCACAGAGCGACCACAAAGGCCTTGAACTACATGGCCAGCACTAAAGACGTCCATCGGACACGCTTTACACAGTCCCTCCCGAAGATCACCTCTTTTACTCCTTCAAACACTCTTGGATGAAGCAGATGTCCCCAGCCCCTTGAGGGTGAGCCACAACAATGACTGCAGCACTGGTTGCTAGGGATCGACTGGCCAGAATCACCATTAGGACAGTCTTACATACGCTTAACATCGTGGACCAAATACAATAATCTGATATAAGCGTACATATTCAGAAGCCAAGAGCAATCACACTGAATTATAACACCAACTACCTCTTTTATACCACTAAAATGTTCGTATAAATAAAGACCGTCTTGAAGGAGGAAACAAATCACAAAGACAAATGATAAGTGGACATAATGAGACAGTCCCACGCATTAGCCTCGGAGACCAGGGAACGGACGGTGGCTGATTAAGGACCGTGAGCAAAACCGGCTGTTTTCTTCCCGACCGCCTGCTTGTGCAGCGCCGCCCACACTCCAGCACTGGGGGACCCGTCCTGAACCCTGGACCCCAGTTCCAATCCATCATTCTTCCCCTGACTCCGCTCCTGGAGAAATTCTCTCTCCAAGTTACAGCACAAGGCCCCACCACGTAAGAGGAGGAAAGTCTGGTTCCAAGACAAACTGTTCAGAAGGCTGTGATGAAGTTCATTGTAACTTTAAAACAACTTTGTGTTAACTTGTTACTAGCTGAACAATCACCAGTAACCTTGTTTCCTAGCACACCGTACTAGCCCGGACAGAAGACGTGAACCAACCACAACGGACTAACCATGTGGGTACAAGGATTACATCACAAGTTGTTTTTCCACTAAATGTTAACAGCACTAAGTAAACCAAAGTGTGCAAATACTTGCGCAACTGTGAAACTGCTTAACTTTTATTGTCTTAAACAAACTTAAGTTTGAATTGACACTACCCAGCGCGTAACTACAACCCAGAACAGCCTTCACGCTGTCAACCAACAACTCGAGTCTGACATGATTTGCGCTCTTTAGTTAACTTGTAACATGTGGCTGGGGGAAAAAAATCGCGACTTTCCCAAAGACAAGCTTTTGGCTCTTAACTTTTTCTCCGCTGAAAGAACCACTGAGGTCCGAGGTGCGCGGCCGGAGTCCACTTACCCGATCCTTCATCCTCCAGCTCTGAGCCAAGGACTTGGAGCCTTCGATTTTCTCACAGTGCCTCTTCTTCATAAAAGCCAAAGGCAGGTTCCAGTCGGTAAGGTCGGCCTCGTCTTCCTCCCCGAGCCCCAGGAGAGGCGACTGCAGCATCTCGGACTCCATCGGCGGGGGTGGGGGAGGGGGAGTCCTTGGCAGCAAGCGCTCCAGAACCTCCAGCCTTAAAGGCTAGTGTGTACCAGAACCGGGGAAGTCACAGGAAAGAGGGGGAGCAGAAACGGAAGTCGGTAGCGTGCGCGGAGCCCCTCACTCAGGCAGAAAGTCTGCTGAGATCCTTCTAACTCCGAGCGGGACGTCGGAGTTGGGGGGCAGCCGGTGGGGAACGGGGCAGCCCCGGGAGCGCCGCACGGACGCACACGCCCCCGGGCTCCGGGCCGCCGGCTGCTCCAGAGGCGGTCCGCGCCGGATGGGGCCGCAGGCCGAGCTGTCAAAGGCGTGCGACACTGGAGGCCTCACGATGACCCCGTGCGCGGCCTCCGAGCACAGGCCCGCAGGCGGCCCGCTCTAGCCGTCGGTTCGCGCCTGGGCGGAGGTCTCCGGCCTAAGGGAAGAGGTCCAGAGAGCCTCGGGCCTCCCCCGGCCACGCTCAGCCCTGCGGGTCCCGCACTCGCCGCAGCTGCTGCAACCAGAGCCAGGACCGGCCCATCGTGCTCGCCCGCACCGGCTGCTCAGCCCCGGGTCCGTGCGACCGGGCCGGTCCTGGCCCTCGGCCCCGTGGCCCTCTCCTGCCTGAGAACAAGTCCTGAGAAACGGACGACACGGAGCCGCGCAGCAGGCGGGCAACGTGGGCTTATGGGGTGTGCGGAGTTTTGTCCTCTGGTTTGAAGCTACAGTGAAACTCCTCTCATCAGCACATCAAGGAGGACGCCATATTTGCGAGGCCCATCATGCACCGCGACGTACGGCGTGGCGAACAGGCCAAAAGACGTCAGAGCGTTCTGGCCGCGCTTCCCCCCGAGGCGCCGAGCGCGGTCCAGGCCCCATCCCGTTACCATGGTTACCGCAGTTCTGCTTTCTAGACTTTATCGCCCTTCTGTCGCTGCATGATAGCAAAGTCAATCGTACAAATGAAACTACGTAAATGAACTTTGAAAAAATCTTGTTATTACTACGCACGGACCTACGTGCTTCTGCCATGAAAGGGTTCGACCCCTTTGTTGTTTCCCGCAGATGGTGGGAAGGCAGCAGCGGGCGCTTCGGGAAGAGCAGCCCCTGGGACTATTACCCCGGAGCAGAGGGGTCTTTGTTGGTTTTTGTCTGTGCGCCTGTTCGTTTGCGTGCGAGCGGAGTCTTTCCCAGTACCCGTTAGATTTTCTTTTTTAATTTGTTTGGGGAAAACAAGTCCAGCGATGATCCTTTTTGTCCAGCCGCCTCCCTCCCGGAGCGGTTTGTGGCTACTCCGACCCCGACCCTGCGCCGCGCGTCCGGCGGCGGCGCCCCAGCGCGCGAGCACGCCCCCTGGGTCCCTCGCCCCCGTCTGCTGGGATTCCGCGGCGTCGCGCGTTCTTGGCCCGGACGGAACTGTGGGCCCGGAGGGAACGGCGACCCCGCGGCCTGCGGGGCCTGCCCCAGGGCCCGGCGGGGGCCCGCAGACCCAGGGCTGGGCGCAGGTGCGCGCGCCCGCCTCCGCGCGGTCGCCATGGTGTCAGGATCGCCCCGGCCCGAGTCTGGAGTCTGGGCTGGGTCACATTCCATCTCCCGGCCGGCCGTGGTCGGGGCCCCTTAACCAGCTCGGTCTTCGTTCGCTCAGTTGTAAAGCCGGGGTAGTAGTAACACCTGTCCTGGAGGACAAATTGAAGCTGGGAAGGTGCCCTGTGTGTGGCCGGTGCCCCTTACACTGCTAGCAGTGGGTAGCCAGGTGGAGTGTAGCACCCCTGGGTGTGTCACTAACCTAAAGCCTCAGGTGGGCTCTGGCCGACCCCCCCCCATTTCCCATGTGGTTTCCCGGGGCTTTGACACAATGGTGGCCCCTATCCAAATCTCCACAGTGTCTGTGCACCCTTCAACACCCGAGTGCATGACCCCACCTCGGATGCGTCTGGCCTAGCAGGTAGCACGCATCTGATAGAAGTTCTGGGATTAAATCATTATCTTTCCAAATGTTCACTCCACTAGGCCAGCTCTAGAGACTGAGTCTTCCGTTACACCCAGGACCAAGTCCCCGGAGTGCAGATGGAGGCTCAAACTTCCTTCTCCCTAGTCTTCATGTCGGCAAAACACACCACAGACAGCAGCAGAGGCTTGGGGACTGCGGGGGTCCTGAGAAGACCCCCATTCTCACCTGAAGGCAGCGTCGCTGTGTCCCCCGCAGTGCGCCCCTGGTGAAGGCCTGGGTCACCGGGCCGCAGGTCACTGCTCCAGGCACACCGGCCGGAAGCCAGAGCTACAGAACAGCAGCCGCACTGACCCGGCTCGTCCCCAGCTCCCTGCGAGACCCTCGAGAACCCACTTCGTCTGCGGAGACTCGGGCTCCTCACCTGCGGAATGTCCTGCCCGTCGGACTGTCTCCGTGGAGGGAGTAAAGGACCCTGTGGAGCCCAAACCTGCAGGCTGTCAGACTGCAGGGAAGCTATTTTAAAATAAGGAGGCCCAGTATGTCCCGCCCTGGACGTGTACCGAGCCACGGGGACAGGGTAGGCGGGGGGTTTGGGGTCTGCGTGTATTTCTGAGTCCGGAGACCCGGATGAGAGCTCAGCATCAGCCGGACGTGGGGATACTGGACAACTGTTTCCTCCAGGGGTTGCGTCCCAGCCACACGCTGGGCCCTGGGTAAATACTGGCACCAAATAAATGAATGCCGTGAGGCCATGGTGCCATCCTTCACCCAAGAAACCGGAACAGGGTTTGGTTCTGCTCTCCCACAAAGCGCGGAACGAAGCACTTTTACCAATGTGACCCCAGACCCCAGAGGCCATCTGGGGTGCGCGTCTGGAACGGAGGGTCGGGGTGCACGCAGGCTGGGCCGCGCCCCCACCAGTCCCTGCAGACGGCGGTGGGGACGCAGCCCTTGCCGGTCCCCCGGCCCCGCATCAGCGATGCGAGGAACCGAAGGAGGTGAACGGCTGAGGACACTGCAGGGTCCGCAGGCTGTGATTCACGTAAAAACCAGGAAGGGGCTGTTGACAGCCCAGCAGCTCCCAGCCCGGCGTTTCAGGAACGGGCTTGAGTCATCTCACAGCTTCGTGACATTTAGAAGAAACCTCGTTCCGGTGTGTCACCCGTGACTGTTCGAGTCCCAGAGCGGCAGGTGGAAGTGCGGCTCCGGGTTTCAGGGAGGCCAGGAGCGTCTGCGCCCGACCCGGACCCGGGGCTGGGAGGCGAGGGCTCGTCTTTCTCCCCTGGGCGGCCTCGCCGCCGCCGCCGCCCGCCACCCGCTGGCCCCTGGGGCCTGCGGTTCCGATTCCCAGTGTCTCCGAGTCTCCCCAAAGCCTCTAAATCAGATCGTAGAAAACCGGGGTTTGTGAGTCTGGGAAAGAAGCACAAAGCCGGGGCTGATTCAAGCTGCAGAAGTGGGCGTCGATGACATCCCGCTGGTGCTGAGCATCAGCCGCGGGGGGGGGGGGGCTTCCAGGCCCAGCTCGCCGCCGCCAAAGCTTGGAGCAGCCTTCCACCTGCCCAGCCAAGGCTGGGGGGCTGCTCCCAGCACGTGAGGGTGACAGGTGACCCTTTTCAGCCCACTCCTGGCTGCTTGGCAACCGAAGCCAGAGAGATGCACGGGTGGGCAGCAGTAGGTTCAGCGTCGTATTATTATTTATTAATTGTTGTGGTATTTTCCTTGGGAGCAGCTGTAACCCTGCTTTTGCCCACCCTGTGTAGATAGCAGTGCGGGCAGAGAACACAGATGCAAACCCGCGTGTACACAGGAGTCAGGGGCACATATACGCAGTGCAGAGTGGGGGGAGGGAGAGGGTCCGGGGCAGCGCCTCCCTCCCGGGCAGCCGGCTGCCGGGGAAGAACTAAGGAAGCTGCCAAGCCCGGCGCTGGCCCGCTGCGAGGGACAGGATCTTTTCTCAAACCCAGACCGCGGCAGCCCCGGGGCCAGGCTCTCCATTTGCAGAAAGGACAGGCTCCTCCCACCCTCCGTGCAGCCTCTCCGTTCCATCAATCAAGGCGTCCAATGCGTTTTGTCATCGAGAGTCCGGAGCCAGAGTGGAGGTCAGGAGGACCCGAGGAAAGCTGGTGCTTTGCTGAGCTGTTTCCCACTCAGGGAGGCCGGCCAGCTTCCATCCTTTCCAGAGAAATCTCTGCTTAGCCTAAGAGAAACCAAAATAGACAAAGTACTTCGCTTTTGTCTACGCATCATTACTGTTTTTAGCAAACCCAAGCCGCTCCCCCCTCCCCCCCGCGCAGGTCAGAGGTTTTGTTGACCTGGCGGGGAGAGAAGGGCTGGCCTCGCACTGCCCTCCGCCATCCATCCCGGAGACCAGGCGCTGGGCTGCGGAGCCCCGAGCTCCGCCCCCTCTCCACCCGCCTCCTCTGTCCGAAGACACGGGATCTGCCCGCCTGTGGCTTCACCCCGAAGCACACTTTCCCACTCTGTCCATAACTTTTCCATGCGAGCAGAAACCGTTCTTCCACTGCAAAAGGGGGGTGAGGCCTGAGCGGCGTGGGGGCCGTGGTAGGAAGCGTCTTCATGCCCAAACTGCACCCACTGCCCACGTCGCTTCTCTCAGAATGAGACTTATCACCCGGCCTCAGCCTGCAAGGGCCCGTCACAGACGGAGAAGGGAAGGCATGTGCCAAGGGGAGGGGGCCGCAGTGGGTCCTTACCAGAATGGTGACTGTCCCCCCAGACCTTCCTCCCCACTCTGGGGGCGGTTTCGTAGCAGCCCCTGAAGAGCCCGTCTGGGGCCACCCCGGGGCCTGGCTTCCATCACAGACTCCCTGGCAGGTCAGCCTGCAGGGCCCCGTGCGCCTGCGGCCCCCAGCCCCCACCGGCTCAGACTCCGCCCACCATCCGGCTGCTGGGGACTCACCGCGCAGAGGGGCGAGGCCAGTTTCACGAGCCCAGTTGGTGTGAGCCCCCCGTCCTCCCCGGGACGCTGCAGGGAGAGACAACGAGGGGTGTTCTGTGCCCAGTGCAGACAAGGAGCTTGAAAGGGCGGAGGGTGGGGGGAACCTCTTGTGATAGAGACAACATGGGGACAATGTGTCGTCCAATCAAAACATGCAAACTGAGCTTTACAACCTATCATCTTAATCATATTGCCTACAATGAGATCCCACCTTTATGAAAATACAAATGATACTACCCACCGTCTCTTTCTGAAGTCCTCCTAAGCCCCCCGTTTGTTATTTTATGGAACCCTCCCACCTGTCAACGGGGCTGGGGCTCTCAGCAAACCCGGGTCCTGAGGGGCCTCGGCTAACCCGGCTGCAGCCTCTGCCTTCAGTGGGAGCTCAGAGAACAGGCCTGCGACTAAAATACTATAATCCCGAACGTGTCTGCAGCGAGCCGAGCTGTTTTCCTGAGAATTAACTCGTTTAATCCTCCTAATAACCTCACTGGAGGCTGCTGCTTTACATCCATTTGCTAGGAAAGAAATCGAGGCAGACAACTAAATAGCTTTCTGGGGCCCTCTGTGCCGGCCGGGGCTGGGCCGGAGCCCCACCGGCGCAGCGGGAGGCGGGAGCCCTCCTGGGGCCTCCGGGCGTCACAGGACCTGTGTCCAGACTCCCTGCTCTGGCGCGTCCACGGCTGGGGCCCTGGGAGAGGTGCTGGCGGCACCCGGCCCGGGGTTCACACCTGAAACAGGGAAACGGGGGGTGGGAGGGGCGGGTCTGCATCACAGAGACAGTGTAAGGACCGACTGAGCCGGTGCCGGCCCGCGGTGAGCTCTCTGATCCGTGCCCTGTTGTCATAAGAAATCGATTCCGCCTGCTTCATGGGAAACCCGGCATGTGTGCCTCAGACACGGATTTTCTTTTATTTATTTATTTTGGAATAATCTTCATTGTTTTTCCAAATGGAAACCTCATGTGTAGGGTGGCAGGAACATGTAACACAGTGATGCGTTGTGTCTCTCAGACGTCACTAGGTAAGGCCATATACTGTTTTTTTTTTTAAAAAAAGATTTTATTTATTTACTTTTAGAGAGGGAAGGGAGGGAGAAAGAGAGAGAGAGAGAAACATCCATGTGAGGTTGCTGGGGGCCGTGGCCTGCAACCCAGGCATGTGCCCTGACTGAGAATCAAACCTGCGATGCTTTGGTTCGCAGCCCACGCTCAATCCACTGAGCTACGCCAGCCAGGGCCATAT